CGAGGCTTGTGGCACCTTCTTGCACTCAGGGAGCTGCTGACAAGTCAACATTTTGAGGATGTCACAGTAGAAAGATGCAAATAACTTGGATCCTTGATGATGTCACTGAACCCTGAAACCCTGAAAAGGCCCAACTCTGGGCTCACTGTTATGTGAAATAACTTTCTTATTTTTTAGTCTTATCTTTTGAGTCAGGATTTCTCTTTCTTGCAGCCAAATATACTCCTAAGAGACGCACTCATTAAGATTTGTTAGTTTACTTTTTAACCAGAAAATGAATTAAAACACTAGCTTCTAGTAAACAAAGGACTTATTGAATAGATATGAAAGAATCTCTTTAAAAAGTTAAAAACGTACTCTAAGATATAAATTACTACAACGGTCTTTCAAAAATCTGGTTCTTGTTTTATGGCCATTCTTTTTGAAATTATTTTTAAGCATTTCTTTTTGTAATCTGTTGCTAAATTAATTCAGTTTGGTGAGCAACAGCAAAATATTAAACACAGATTACCTTGGAGCATTTTGCTAGAATCTAGCTAAGTTGTATTGCAGTAGAATTATGTTCAGCTATGCATGTTTGGAATTTCCTGAGATATTCCATATGCCAGCTGAAAACACAGTAGCCAACTCATGGCCAGATGAGCATATTATGACCTAAACTCATTGAGAGGAAGTCCAAAGTGAAGACCATCAGCATTGAATCCCATTTATTTTTTCTAGTTTAGAGGTGGCCCCCAAAAGCACAGCTTGGAGGTCCATGTACATGGTTTACCACAAGCTATAAGACAGAGAAAATGCGGAACATGACACCAGAGTAGTAGTTCTCTTGCAACTAAGATAATACGTAAAAGCATGAGCAGAGATAACAAATGCTGGTGTGGATGTGGAGAAAAGGGAACACTTGTGCACTGCTGGGGGGACTGTAAATTGGTACAGCCACTATGGAAGACAGTATGGAGGTTCCTCAAAAAAGTAAAAATAGAACTACCATCTGATCCAGCAATTCCACTTCTGAGAATATATCCAAAAGAAACAAAAACACTAACTCGAAAAGATACCGGCACCTCCATGTTCATTGCAGCATTATTTACAATAGCAAAGACATAGAAACAACCTAAGTGTCCATCAGTGGGTGAATGGATAATGAAGTTGTGGTATGTATATACAATGGAATATTATTCAGGCATAAAAAATGAGGAAATCCTCCTATTTGCAAAAACATGGATGGACCTTGAAGGCATTGGGCTAAGTGAAATAAGCCAGATAGAGAAAGAAAAAGACTGTACAATCTCACTTATATGTGAAATCTAATCAAAGAAACCCCACCAAACTCATAGAAAAAGTGATCTGATTTGTGGTTACCAGAGGTGAGGGATGAGTACAGGGGGAACTGGAGGAAGGCGATCAAAAGGCACAAACTTCCAGTTATAAGATAAATAAATACTAGGGACTCAATCTGCAACATGATGAATAGCTGACACTGCTGTATGATATATAGGAAAGTTGCTAAGAAAATAACTCCTAAGAACTCTCATCACAAGGAGAAAATTGTTTTTTCTTTTCTTTTTATTGTATCTCTATGAGATGATGGATGTTAACTAAACCTAATGTGGTAATTATTTCTCGAAATATGTAAATCAAATCATGCTGTACACCTTAAACTTATACAGTGAGGTATGCCAACTATTTCTCAATAAAACTGGGGGAAAAAGTTTAAAAAATAGAATTTAAAAAAAGCCTGAGCAGCAACAAGAGCTGAGAGGTTTGAAGCAGTTGAGGCACTGCTTGGAGTTCTTGGAAGAGGAGGACGTGGAAAAAATGGAGGCCCCAGTTAGATAAAAGAGAAAACCAAAGGCAGAGGGGGTTTCTGCCTCACTTCCAGTTTGGAACTCTGAGGGGAACTCAGTTCACCAGGGGAGGCTACAGAAGAACAGAAATGGCTATGTGGCATGGTCAGACAGAGAGAGGGCCAGCACAGGCATGCACGTGCATGCAGTATCCCATATGCCCCACTGGGGGTACACTGAGTTTTGAATGGGCAAAAAGGAACCAGATTTGGAATGAGCAGGGAGTGCAGTGCACAGGCAGATAATGTAGGTGCACGCTCAAAGGCTAGATGGAACCAGTTGCATCACCATTGAAGGCGAAGTGGGATGCTTTTGTAAATGAGATTGTTTTCCTAATTTCTTTTTCTGATAATTCATTATTAGTGTGTCGATACACAACTGATTTTTGTATGTTGCTTCTGTATTCTCTATTTTTTCTTTTGCTGCTTGAGCTTTCAGTAACACACCTAAGAAACCATTACCTAACCCAAGGTCATGAACATTTACACCCATGTTTCCTCCTAAGTGTTTTATAGTTTTAGTTCCCACATTTAGGTGTTTGATCTATTTTGAGTTAATTTTTGTGTATGGTGTGAGGTAGGATCCAATATAAAAGATATTCTCATAATTGATTTCTCTTAACCTTTTTACTCTTTCAAATGTGGCTACTAGAAAATTTAAAATCATGTTTAAAAGTAATGTGACTCACATTACTTTTCTATGGACAACACTAAAATAGACCAGTGGCAATGTTGGCATCAGAGCTATAAATGCTATAAAAATGTATTGAGCACACACAGTGTGCCAGGTACCATTCTAGGCACTAAGGATATTGAGACAATGAAGCACAGACTCTCCTCTCAAGGAGTTACAAATATTTTGTAGGAAACAGACAAGCAAACAATTCACTATGGTGGAGAATCTGATTCTCAGCTTCATATGCCTAGAAACTCAATCTTATAATTCCACAGGAAAGGCCTCCTGGAACAATGGCTGACATTTACCATCCTCATGAGAGACTGATGTGTAAACCAAACGACCACCATTTATCAGTTTTCAATGGGATCTGTAATAATAACAGCTATGATGTACTGAGCACTTACTATAAGCAGGCACTGTTCTAGGTATCTGCACGCATTATGTGATTTAGTCCTTACAATGACCTTATGAGATAGTACTATTATCATTCCTATTTTGCAGATCAAGAAATTGAGTTGCAGAGCTTTGAAATAATTTGTCCAAGGTCACACAGATGACTAGTTTCAAACTCAGTAAATATCCTCTTAACCACTACACTCTATTGCTTCTCGCCAAATGTACTGGATGTTTGTGTTGGCCACTCAGTGATTTCTGTTCCTCTGTAGGAGGATCTACATGCAAAACAGAATTATAATCAGAAGATGGCTCAGTGAGTATCAAGTCAGAGCAAGGGCAGTCAGTGACATAAATTGAAAGCCTAATAGAGTCAAGATCCACAGTAGGGTCAAAATACACCCAGTGCAGTGATGTGGCAATTGGATTTGGGGGATCATTGCTTCCCCTGGATACTGCCAACTTCTGCCTTTCTGTGCTTGTGTTTATTTTCTTTTTAATTGTTTCTGGCAGTTCCCCTTTCACTGATACAGTCCTTCTTTTGACGACGAAATACCTCCAGTCATGTTCTTGCTCTTCTTGTTTTGAGTCTGGGAAATATTTTGTGTTTTGGTTGACTGATTTTCTGCACTCTTCCACTGCGTGTTGGCTTGATTAGTCAGAGCAGCGGAGCTCTGACTGACCACACTCTGTCTTCCCTTCCCTTCTCATATCTAATCTAAGTCCTGAGATTTTTATGCCGCTACCACCATTTCTGTCATAGTAACTGAGACTAACCTGGATTAAAATGGTAGACGTTCTTGATCTTCCTGCCTAAAACTTTCCTCTCTCCTGCCCAGCCTCCACATGCATGCAGCCACCTCAAATAGCTCCAGTGTTGACCTACATCTTAGGTGGTTCCCTTTTGACTACAAAAGAAGCTCCTTCGAGTGGCATTTTAGACTCTTCATGATCTGGCCCCACCCTTATCATCAGCGTTTCTCCCCGCCTCAAATCCTCTGTCCTTCAACCACCCTGCCTTTGCTCATGGCAGTCCTACTACCTAGAATGCCTTTCCTCCCCTCTCTACCTGTGTTCCTTCCTCTGAAACCTGTATCTAATAAGCCTACCTATTCTTATAGAGTCTCCTTGATTGCTCCCTCTCTCCTGCCAGCATGACTCTTTCTCTCCTCCAGTGTGTCCTACTTTGCCAGACAGCAGGACACAGTCAGCTTACATTATGTTTAGCTCTGTGGTGATGGAAAAACCTGGGCTCTGGAGCCCTGCTTCCTCGGGGTGCCCCGGGACCCTGGCCACCTATTTGAATGCGTTTATCCCGCTATTCCATAATTATCCAGTTACTTGATGTTTCCCCATTTGACTGAGCCCCACCCTCTGGCACATGTCTGATCGCCATGGTCTCCTCGGTCCCTAGTAAAGTTCATGGCACAAGAAGCGCCCAGTCCACGTTTCCTGAAGGAGTCACAGAGGGAAGTAATTCATCCTAGTTGCTTTTCTTCCAAATGATGTGACCTGGGGAAAGTTGCAAAACCTGCCTGTGACTTTGTTTCCTTACTTATAAATAGGGGAAATACCTGTTGGTAAAGGTTACTGAGATAATGTATGTTAAAAAAAAAACCTGTAAATGCTGAGGAGGGGGAGTGAACATGAGGGAAGATCTGTGTCACACGAGTGGTGAGAAACATGTCAAGTAGCAATGACAATATTAATAATAGCTAGAACTTTTTCAATAGGGGTCACATACTAAGTGTTTTGTACCGTTATCTCATTAACTACTTCCAACTCCCTAAGGGATTACTGTACCCATCACACAGATAACAAAACTGAGACTCAGGAAGGAAAGTACTAGCCAAGTGGAGGAGCTGGGGTTCAGAGTAACACCTTAGAGGCTAAGCATCGGCATTTCAGTGCCCATCTCAGGGGCGAGCTGGTAGCTGGCTCCCGGGAGGCATCAAGCAGAAGACCTGGTCTAGGCAGGCCTCATTTCACACCTGTTCTTAATAACTTGGAAAAGAGCAGGCACAGTTGGTGCTGCAAAGGCCGGAGGAAGAAAACAAAGCAGATGTCCAAAGGAGCTGGTGCAGAGCAGGAGAGAGGAACTGGGGTTTGGTTTGGGGAAGTACAAACCAAACTAGCCACTAGCTAATCCACAGTGAGAGTAGAGCGGTCAGGAGAGAAAGGAGAGCTGGGAGGCTGAAAAGTAGCGAGGCAGGCTGATGGACAGCAACAGATACAGAGTACAGAGCAATGCTGCTCTGTAACGTGATAAGGCAACAAGAGGCCAAGGCTCTTCCGGGCAGCACTCACAAGAGCTGTTGAAGTGCAGCGAGGCCCTGCTCTCTTCTTCCTGTTTACAGAGGTGAGTCCGTTTCACAGACTCAGTGTGTGCTCACACACATACACTTTTATACTGAGCCCCATCACAAACACACACACAGACTCTTTGATTCTGAGCCCCATCAAACCTCATACACCTTTTTAACTTTCTTCTTTTCCAAGTTTTGCCTGTATGTTTCCTAATGTCTCTAAGAGAAGTTGTGGGGCTATTGCACATATAGAGGATGGGGTATAGTTCAGAGTGTATGGGGAGGCAACGAGTAAGGAACTGAATAAAGGAGTACTTGGCCAGAGTGATGAGTCAGTCCCAAGTTCCAGAAAATCTGTCCTTAGTCAGAAGCTCTGATCCTTCTGGTCCATCTAGGGGCTAAAGGCAGGAACCTGGGTTTACATATGGCTCCACCTTTTACTACCTACATAAACCTAATTATTCTACCATATCTGAGTCTATTTCCTCAACTGTGAAGTGGGAATAGTAATAACAACTACCTCATTGAGTTACTGAGAAGGTTAAATGCAAAAGGACTGCTCGTATGTAAAATCGGTCCCTGGTAAGTGGACATCAATATTCTCTTTAAATCTGCCCAGGGGTTAAGAGTGTCGTGTGTTCACAGTTTGTCTATAGGCTTCTTATTCAGATGCCTTTGGATTTTTGTAAGCCAGGCTTTGCAAAGATTCACAGATTGAAACCCATAGTGAAAAAGAAAAAAACCAGTTTGAGGGTTTTCTTTTAGAGCTGGAATAAAGTGATCCTGATTTTTGGATAGCTGGTTAAATGGGTTCAGGGATACGCCAGACTTTAGAGCCATATTTTTATGCACCTCTGGGGCACTTCTGGGCCTGCCACCATCAGGTGGGTCCTCACCACCTTGGGAGGCGCAGCTCCATGGTGATTCTTGCTACTCCCAAACCTCACTGCCTGCTGTCCTCCTGAGGCTTGAGAGTACTGTTCAAATGCGATGTGGCTGTGGGTCTGCCCATGACAAGACGAGGGGGGAGTGGGGTGAGGGGCTCTGAGAATTTCATGTTTCTCCCTCTTTCTTTAGAGGACTTATACAGTGCCAAAAGAACAGTCGGGGCACCCTCAGCTGGCTCATTCCCATGGGGAAGGGACATCTTTGGCCTTCCAGCTGGAAGGACCCTCTTGGGTCACCCAGTCCAGCCTGTCTAAGGTTCAAGAGCCAACAGTGCTTGTCTGCAATCCCTCGTCAGAGTAAGTGATAGGAGAGCCCACCCAACACCCCCAAGACCTCTCAGCCCGGGTTCTCCACTACAAAGTCCTGGGTGAACAGGGTACCTCTAGGAATGTGATACAGAGAGGCCATAGGAGATCCTTTCTCAAAGCCAAGCAAGGAAAATCAGAGAGGCCGGTCACATGCCATTCTCCTCTATCTGCAGAACTGACTAAGCAAGACAGTGAACAAGCCAAGGCTGGTCATTCTCCTGACTCGTGAACCTCAATTTGTTCTTGTAGTATTTGATTTATTCAGTTAATAACATGCTTACATGCTCCTTTTTCCTTCATAGTAAGCAGATAAATTTCTCCATAAAATGTCCTAAATGACTGTGCTTTTGAACTGTATGACCCTTTGTGGGTGATTTCTGTGCATATTGGAATGTGAACAGTGTGACAGCCCTGTTCAAAGTGTTTACTGATAAGGATTATAGTGGTATCTCTCAATAGAGAACATGGGTAGCCCCCGCCCCAGCCTCCCCTTCCCCCGTATGTGTATCCCGCAGGCCTGCTTGAGAAGCTGACCCGGTTGACCAATCTTGGAAAACTTTTCTTTACTTAGTTTTATCTGACAGAGATACTGCAATGTTTTGCCAGTTTCCACAGAAACCAATGGGGAAGACGGAGTTGCTGCTGCTCAGATATAGTGTAAGGAGATGTCTAGGTGTCCCACATAGCCAGTAAGCCATGGCTCTCTCTGGCACAGCACACTCCCGTGTGAGCTGTGCAATCCCAGGCAAGTCACACAACCTCTCTGGATATCAGCTTCCTTATTTCGGCAATGAAAATATTCATAGCTGCCTTACCTGCCTTATATGGTGGTTGTGGGGAGGTGAAATAACATTATGCATGACAAAGGGCTTCAGAGAGGCAACAAGCCCCTACAGATGCAAGTTATGTGCTGTTAAGGCTACCTGCCCTTAATTGGAGTCAGTGTAAAGAATTTTATTTCCCCAGGCGAAAACTTTGTTTCTAACTTAAAATGGTTAAATTCCATCAAGGACAATGGGACAAAGGCATCGATCTTCCACTCTCACTGACAATGGAACAGTATCTCTTGGAGACAAGTCTGAATTTTATCTGTGTACCCACTAGTACTAAAAAATGTTTCTAGACATTATGTCCTTGGATTTGGAAATCATTACCCAAAAAAGTCTCTTCCTCTGCGATTCTGCAGAGCTATTCTGCACCTACTTAGAGCTGGCCGGTGCGGAGCTCAGACACAAGAGCTCCATGGAACACCAGACGCAAGACCTACTTGTGTTTGAAGAATATTTCAGGAAAAAAGCAGGGACTTCAGAGGATGGAGCTGACAGGACTTCACTATACTGCCCAGTTTATTCACAGATGCTAAAGTTAGAAAGTTCTCTGGGCCAAACTCCTCATTTCAAGAGGAGAAATTCATGGCTCAAAATAGTTCTAATAGGTTAAGTAGTTATTTTTGGAAAACTTAGTTTTCCTGATTTCCAGGCTGCTGTTCTTCCCATTACACCATTAATAATATGGACAACATCAGCAACTGCCGGGGTCCGGCCTCGGCAGAGTCCAGGTTCCCGCGGGAGAGACGGCGTCGGCGAAAAACTGAGGGAGGGGAAAATAAAGAGGACGTGAGACTTGGGTTGGTGTTAGCAAGTCTGACTTTACTGTACACAAGTGTCGTTTATATATTTTTCAGGATTAGTACAGAAATGGTTCTACAAATATGCTCAGAGAGATAAGGAAGTGAAAAAACGAGCACAAGAATATTTATTAGCATTCCATTCTATATAGCATAAGGTTAATGATTGTCTTCTCCGCAACGAACTAGTGTTTGTTGTCTCTAAGCTAAAAGAGATAGGTACCTAGACACCTGTTGTAATTCATGGTAAAGTTAAATCAAAGAGAGAAGGTCCAGGCCTCCGGACAGGACAGCAGTCCGTCTGTTTACATCCTGGTGGAGCCATCCCTGCCTCCCTCAATCATTTACGCCGTTAGTGTAGAGGGTTAATGGGAACTAAAGGTGACTCCAGGGTGTCTTATCCCCAGGGCTATCTGCATTCTCAGCGGGCAGTTAAACATCTTTACTTTTTTGCGCCCTTTAGGGGGTGGAAGCATTCCTTTGTCTTTTTGATTGTGGAGCTAACAGTCCCTTAAGCACACTGCCGGAGAAAGTATCACTTTGTTAGTAAAGTAAAGGGCTGAAAAGCTAAGCTAAACTATATATCTTCAAGAATAAAAACAGAAATAAGTATAGACATAACCTTGCTAGAAAGCATGCATATAATTTAGAAAATATCAGGGGTGTCGGCCAGCCATTCTTCACCGAGGGGCATCCCTGCACCCCTCGGCCCTTCTACTCATTAATTATTTATTATTTATTGCTTTTAGGAGAAAACCTCTATAACATTTTAACAGAAAGCAGAAGGTCAAGAATAATATATAGATACTTCTTGATCATCCAATTAACCAGCAAACTTAGAAGGATGATGCATATATATATTTAGACAAAGAACTGGAGGGAGAAGGAAACATTAACCAGACAGAGGCCATAAACCTAATTCGACATCTTATCTGGGCAGGATTCCTTTCTGATTGTCTCAGATGGGACTGTGTGCTCCTCCAATAATTAACTGAAAAATATCTTGAAAGTTACCTGCAGGTGGTCACATTCTCTTACTATATTTAATTTTCCCAGGAGGTAGTGCCTCCCAAGCAGCCACCCAAAGGAGTGAAAACTGGAGGTTAAGAAAGGAAAAGGAATGAAGGGCAATTAGAAGCAGCACAGGTTTCAGAACTATGTGAGGGGCTGGCCGGTTATTCTTCACCAAGGGGCGACCCTGCACCCCTCGGCGTTAATCGGCTGGACCCTGTCAAACAGCCGATCAAATGATGTAGCCACGGCTCCCGGCAAGCAACCACCACAGCAGCTACTGTTTATGGAACAATGAGTGTGTGTTACACATAGTGCTAAGGTATTTACATATATTCGCTCGTTTAACTCCTGCAACACAGCAGTAAGGCAGATATTGTTCCCATTTTATAGATGAGGAAAATGAAGCTCAGAAATGTTATTACTTGCCCAAGGTCCTGGTACTGATATTTATATCAGTCCACAGTATACAGAACAAGAAATGGTATGTTTGTTGTGGTTGTCCCCGTTGTTTACATGCAACATTGTGTCTGCATTCTTAAAAAATTTAGAGGTGAAAAATCACTCCTTATCCTGAGTCTCAAGGGCCCTAGAAAATATACTCTAAATTGAACTGTCACACAAGCCTCACCCTGAAGAGCAGCCTGACTGTATATTGACAGGGATTAACTGGAAATCAGGGCGTGGCGCTTCCGCCTTCTTCCGCATGCCAGGCTTTTAGAATTCAGACACGAGATGAGTCATAAGAGAAATGTGCAGGCTTTTGGCCACAGTGGAAGTACTCATTTCCTCAATTGCTCTTCTGCAAAACACTGAGGCCAGCTATTTTTATATGCTAGAAATGTTAAAAGCATTTTTCAGTCTTAGTGTTGCTTTTAAAATAATTAAACCAACCTCTGCTGCCCCTGCTGTGGTTTCATTCTAAAGATCATACACTCAGACTTTTTCTCTTCTTGTTTTATGAGAGTTACAATGAGAAATTCTCTAGGCCTACAACTGTCAACCACCACAGTAAATTTGCCTCCTCCTTAAATTTGACATCATATTTTTCCAACTTTCATTAAAAAGCATAACCCCTCTATAAAGTCTTTCCACACTCTGGCACAAGTTATAGAGCTTGAATTTTAAAACTCTGAACATGTATTTAATTATAATTCAA